TAGTAATAGTAGTAGTAGTGGTAGTGGTAGTGGTAGTAGTAGTAGTAGTAGAGGTAGTAACGGAAAATGGTAGGAAAGTTAGCAATAAATGATAAAGACCTAGTTTTAGAAAAAAATAGAATTATAAAAAAATTAGGAGATTTTAAAAATTTTACAATTGTGTTAGAACAAAATGAGTTTAGTACAGTACAAAAAGGTGATGAAAAATTTTTTAAACCAGACAATAAACAAATTAAAACTAATAACCTCCTTTAAAATTTATTTAGATTTTTAATCTGTAAATATTTTTAATCTTTAAATATTTTTAATCTGTAAATAATAATATAATGGTTTTCTATAAATTTACTGTTATCATTTATAAATAATCAGGGTGGCCAGCAACTTGGACATCCTGCTAAAGTCAGGAAATTAAATAAATTATGCAAAACTTAGGAAATTTTGATTGATTTAGTTGCAAATTATAAGTTATTATTTGAATTTGCAATCAAAATAAGATTGCAATAAATGTATTACTTAAGTCTTATAATAACATTATTTAAAAGTAAATGAAAGCATTTTTGAAGCAAGTTTATGTTTTTGGGTAAAGTAAAGAGCTATGTAAAATTTTTTGTTGCTTTGTAAAACTTTAGGGAAATGTCATAGAAAGTGAAAAAACCTGAAAATTTGCTGGCCACCCTGATCATATACATTTACATTAATCAAATTCACTCACGTTCAAGTCAAACTTATTTTTCAAGTTCAATATTTTAATTAAGTTTAATACTGTATTAATTGAAAGTAAAAAAGTTTAAAATTTTGCTTTATAAGTATTGTGTTGAAAATATTCAGAAATAGTAGACTTATTATTAGGTGGTTTGGTGTCATAATTTATTTTCTCAGTATAGTTATCAAGCTCTATATCGTAGGTGATAATATTGATAAGGATCCTCGTTTATATACTTTGGCATACTTTTCTCTTCTCTTATTTGGATCAAACTAGAAATCGGAGTAACAATAATGTTATGAAATGTTTTAGATTGCTTTGATCCAGTCTATCCGTCATGGATTTTTGAACTTTAATCCAGTTTCATCTTCTTTTTAAAAGCTTATTTTCCAAAAGAAACCTTTTAAATTTTAAATCCACATTAGTTTTCACATCTTTTTGAGTAACTAATGACACAACAACTGTTAGAAATAACTTAATTCTTGTTAAAAAAATCAATAAGTGAATAAATTTCCTAACAAAACATACAAACATCTTAATGTTTTTTGCTGGAAAATTTCAGATTATTTTTTTTTTTTCTGCCTACAAGTATGCGCATGCATGTTTTTTTGAAAATGTAAACTTTTGTAAGTCATCTTAGTATACCTGTCCTAGCAAATATTTCAGTAGTAAATTTCAACTTCGCTAAATAAAATACTTGTTTACTTAAACAGTGCAAAAAATCTTAAAAATTAATCTAAAAGAGTTTGATACAAAACCAAGAAATAATTGTTATGATGAAACGGGTATGAACAAAAAAAGATTTTTTTTAAAAACGAAATTTGTTAAAACAAAAATTATTAGTTCATACCGGTTATTCTCTAATATATTCTCCTAACAGTAATACTTAAATATATAATCTATAACATAATTTTCTAAAAACTATATATAATTGCACGTGAAAAGATACGTCACTGGAGATAAATTTCCTATGATCCAAAATATCGTAAGATTTATAGAAAAAGCAATACATCCGCTTAATCCAACAAGAAGCTTAAAAAGAACATTAGAAAAATGAACATTCTTTTGATAAATGAGGCCTGTAGTAATTATAATAAAAAAATTAAAAATAGTAGCATTGAAAAACTGGATACAATCATAAGTAAATTTTTTAGGAAACAGAGTTTTTTTTTTTACCAACCAAATAGTATTTTTAACAGCAATTTCATCAAATTGATTTTCAAACAAAATTTAGCAAACCCACCTAAGTCCTTGAATTATTCAAAAGCCAAATTTTTTGGTGTAAAAAAATGGAGGTAGAGGAGACAATAATATAAATAAAAAATCTAGATGTCTTATCATAAGTTTGAAATTGAAAAAACTGAACAAATATTATCCATTATAGGACGACATTTGTTTTGGGATTCGTCATAGAATATTAATCACAAAATTTTATTTTAAAAAAGTTACTATATTCACTATGTTTATTTGTTTATACTTTATTATTTTTATAACTTTATTTCAAAGCTCAAAGATTTAGCATTGCCGTAAAATCAGTAAGAAAATTGTGCAAGCAAGAAATTAAAAATTATTTTCTTTCTCCTAAAGCTTTTTTAAACAGCATACTGCTGATATTTTAACAGATCTATAACGCATATTTATACTTTTTTAATACTATATATTTTGTATAACTACGTGTTAGTTCTGTTGAAAATGTGTAGTTAAAAAACTATATTTTACAATAGCACTATATTTTTTAATTTCGGCTCATGTTGGAATATACTGTCATGCAATTTTAATTGTGGCTTCTTATATTGGAATGTACTGTCATGCAACTTTAATTGTGGCTTATTATGTGAAAATGTTATATTATGCAATTTTAATTGTTGTTCCTTATGTTAAAATATACTGTCATGCAATTGTATTTGTGAAATGTCATGTCTTATATGGTATACAATTGGTTTCAAATTTTAAAATAATGAAAATTTTTTTCAAAAAGATGAAAACTTCTAACAAAATTAGGTAAAATATCTAGCACTTTTAATATTTTCTACGGAATTGAACTATTTTCAATATCATTTTTATATTTTTGATTTGAAAAAATATCAAAATGAGGCAGAAGTTAGGCTTTTTGCTAAATTTCATACTTTGTTAATATTCTTTGAATAGTGATTACCAAAATTTTGAACAACCTTTTTAAATATTTCAGCAATAAAATTTAACTGCTTCAGTGGACCAATAAACTCCAATTGTTAAGAAAAAAGGGGGGTCCGATTCAATCTACAAACCACAACTGAATAACTACTTCATCGACCATTGTTTCTGCCATTTTACAATCATTTCCTAATCCTTGAAAAAGAAAAGTTACAATCAACTGTATAAAGAAGAAACTCCAGTATTTAAAAAAATACTTTAACGCATCTCTAGAAATTCAACAAATGCAAAGCCAAGCAGCAGAAACAAAAAAAAAAAAAAAAAAAAACTAGATTAAATCAAAAACCAACAAAAAACAAAAAAAGTGGAACGAAAATTGACCGGGGCCATGGACAGGTTTGATACCATGCCCAGGGCAGAGCCACGGTTATGGCCAGAGCTGCGAAACCTTGACCCTATAATTACAAAAAAAAAAAAAACCTATAAATGAAACATCATCTTCAATTGAAATTCACATTATATATATATATTCTATAACTATATAATATATAAACATGTATTGTATATTATATATAAACATGTATTATATATATATATATATATATACATATATATATATATATATATATATATATATATATATATATATATATATATATATATATATATATATAAATATATATATACATATATATATATATATATACATATATATATATATATATATATATATATATATATATATATATATATATATATATATATATATATATATATATATATATATATATATATATATGTATGCAAAAGAAGATAATTGTACAATTAAAAAAAAAAACATAATTTTAAAAGACGGCATCAAAAAAATGAGCTGTCTGTTAAAATATTTATAAGTTTTTTTTAGATATCTTTATCAAGTATTGTTTAAGAATTTATTTGTGTATTGATGAATTAATTGCTTTTCAAACCTATTGAATTTTACGCAATTGATCAAATGATCCATAAAATTGACTGCAAAAAAAGTAATCGTAAAGTTCAAAAAAATGTCAAATTGATCAAATTCCATGGAAATTAGTATCAAGTGGGGCCTTGATGGCCTTAACTAGACAATTTGGCATTGAGTTGACCAAATTTTAGGTCTCTTTTTTAGCTATATTATCCCATAGCTTCTTTAAAATTGTCTTTGCATCTAAATGCTCGGTTGCCAATATCTCTATCTAAAATATACCAAAAACTTTCTATTGGATTCAAATACAGACTTTGATATGGCCATTACAAAACATTGATGTTATTTATGTCAAAGTATACCTTCGTTTTCTTAGCTGTATGTTTTGGATTGCTATCCTGCTGGAGTATGAAATTACTTCCCATTCTCAATTTTTAAGTATATGGTTGCAAGTTGGCTTTGAGAATTTCACAATACATTGAAGCATCCATTTTGTCATCAATAAATGTAAATTTCCCCACTCCTTTTCAACTCATACTATCGCAAATCATCACTTTTCCTCCTCGATGCATTACACTACCTCCCAAACAACTCAATTTATAAGCTTTTCCTTTTTTCACCACATTTTTTGTACTCTATCCGATGAGACAAGATTGTATTTTTACTGATCTGACCGCAAAATTTTTTTCCAATATGATATCAGCATTTTTAAGTACTTCAATGCAAATTTTAATCGAGGTTTCATTTGTTTAGAAGTTAAAAAATGTTTACTTCAAACCACTCAACTTCTATTTCTTTGTTCTCTTATACAATTTCTAATTGTTTGAAGAGTCGCTGTGATGTTATGATCTTCTTGAACTTTTAAAGCTAATTTAGCTCCCGAAACAAATCTATTTTATTCACATTAATGATGACATAAATGATATTTCGATCAATTGCACTAGTGGTCTTGGATTTTTGTCCTTTACCAGCCGCACTAGCAACGGTTCCAATCAGATTATGCTTCTTAACAATTGAGAAGTAATGCTTTGACACAAATAACATCAATGTTTGGAAAGGCCATCTCAAAATCTGGATTTTGAGATGGCCTTTATATAAAATAGAAAATTGGTGGTATTTTTATATATATATATATATATATATATATATATATATATATATATATATATATATATATATATATATATATATATATATATATATATATATATATATATATAGCCCCTGCTAGAATTATTGTTGTTTAGCCGGGGCCAGGTTTGAAAAAAAAACACCATACTTGACCAAGGCCAAAGCCGTGGCCCTGGTCTCTTCCTAATTCATGTCGCAAGTTATTTTAGAGAAACATGCTGATAAGAGTTTCTAGAAGATTGTAAAAAAAAATTACATTTAAAACTAAAGTTTTAATAATAAATTTGCTTTTATTGCTTTTAGTTTGCATAATTATTGCATAGTTAAATACTAATTAAATCATCAGAAACTTTGAAAAAGTAAACTTAATTTTCTCACTTGTTTTTATATTGAGGTGATAAACATACACTTACCCAAGTTTGCATAGACCACATATGAAATAAACTTCCTTCACCACTCAAAGGTTCGAAAAATGGAATGACGAACAATAGCAAACCAGCTGATAAAGGAGCCTGGAGTTAAGTAAAATGTAAAGAAGTTATTAAAATACTTAATTTTTTTTTACAAAATAACAAATACTTGATTTAATTTTGAATTAAAATAATTAAATTTAGCATACTTCCACACAAGTGGCTCAGACAGTTTTTTATAATGCTGCTTTCTTGTTTGTATATAAAAATATGGAATAACTGTAACAACTTTCTACAACTGTATGCCTTTCTGGCATAATTCTGTTTTGATAAAAAGATCAAAATTGAGGAAATATATATAATATATTTCCTGTCATAACTTGATAAACTTTTGCTCAAAAGTAATGAAAATGGGTTTTATACTGAAATATCTACAAAAAAGGTCACAAAATGGTATATAAGTAGTATTAGCATTATGACTTTTTAGAATTTTGTGGACTGTTCTGAATGTTTTTAGAATTCTCTGAAACTTTTTAGAATTCTGTAAAGTCTTCTAGAAGTTTATGAAAATGATTTAGTCTATAGCTTCCTGATTGAGCAATGCTAATAATTATATATGAATCTGTATTCGCCAGATAGCAGCCAAATAATATAAAAGTACAATAGAACATATTTGTTATTATTGCCTTTCAGAAATATATTCAAGTATTGTCTTCAGTCATAATGTCCTATAAGAACACTACTAATAGAAACAAGACTGGATGAAAAATTTCAGACAAATCTATGAGTAACATAGAAAAAAAAAATGTTCCATTAAACAATCAATGGAAGACAACAGCAGAATACCACTCAAAATCCAAACTGTTGGTTGCTATCTGTTCCTGGAAGAATCCATTGGAGGAAGACGAGAACACATATTTCTGAAATAGTTGGTTACATTTCAATGTTGTTTACAAATAGTAAGATTACTAACATTAAATAAACACCTTATGAAAATGATTAAAATAATAATGGTTATACTAATAAAAATGATATTTATAATAATAAACATAAGAATCACAACATAAAAGAACAAAAAAACATAACTTCTGATAATAATGATAAAAATAGTAATAATAAAAATAACAATGATAAAAATAATATCTTACTTGTCTTTATAAACATAAAAGCTATATATACAATGTTAGACAGTTACAAACATTAAAAAAACTGATAAAACATAACAAACAATGACATAAACTTTATTATTTTAATAGAAAACGAGAAAATAGGAAAACTAATTGTAAAAATAAAATTAATAATTCCTATGATAACGATAATTATAATAGAAATAACAAAAAAGATTAAAAGTAAGAAGAAAATTTAACATTAAATAAGTATTACTATCAAAAAATCCGAACGGACAAAAAACATAACAAAAAATAAATTAAAGAAAAAAAAAAAGAAAAAAAAAAGCTTTAAAAAATTAAAAAAATATTATATTGTTTCATACATACATACACAAACAAACATATAAACATATACAGATACATAAATATAGGTACACACACATGTTTACACACATATACATTTGCATACAGAAATACACATACATGTCTACATAGACTTACATAGAAATGTATAAATAGATACATATAGGTATTCCATTTTAAAAATATATACAACTTTAAAAAAATTCAACCATTATATTTCAACATTAACATTAAACTAAAGGGAGAAAAAAAATACACAACAATACAAAATTTGCACAAAAAAACATGACAATGTGAGCAATACAAGAAAACGCGTGATGAAAATAATACACAAAATAAAATAAGAATACGCAAGAAAGTCTGAAAACAAAACTTAAAAAAAAAAAACAATGCAAAAAGCGCACAAAAAAACATAATCAACCTAAAAATACAGGACAATTCCAACAATACGAACTCCAACAATTCAAACAAAAATACATGACAATATAAACAATGTACAAAAATAATTTGAAGAAATTATTAATTTAAAAAAATGGTTCGTTCTTTTATTGCTGAAAAGTTCACTGTAAAAACTTTATTTTATATTTTTGTTAACAACAATTTTTTATTGTGGTTTTCCATTTTCAAACTTCTTTTTTAACTTTGTATTATGTTTTTAGCAGTTTTTGTTTTTTTCTCTTCAGTTATTTTATTTATTTAAATTGT